GACATTTAGATGAAGAAATTTAAAAAACTCTGTTTTTTAAGGACAAAACACAAGCTCTACAGTAAAATCCTTGAGGTGCTCTTAGAGCGGTGCCTATGCGAAAGTAGTGATTCACATTAAATTTGAATCGATGGAGATTAAATCCATTTGGAAAAACCTTCTCAGGAAGTTTATTCTACATAAATGCCGTTCTCCAAATGAAAGAGCTCTTAAACGGTGAAGTTCGAGGTGTACTGAGTTGAACCGCAAAGCGATGAACAGTCCGTCGTGTATTTCTGATCTGTATCGCTCTTGTGGAATCAAATGTGCCAAGTCACTTGAACAGTTCCCGTGAAAGTATCTATAGAAGAGAGACAAATCTCCAACCTTTCTTCGATGTTCTAGACCTAGACTATCAAAAGGTTGCAAGTGATGTTCGGGTCTCCAATCTGGCGGATAGCTCTTTTCTGGATGGAATTCAGTGAGGAGCTCCATACATTAGAACAATACTCCAAAGGTCTGATCTGAGCTTTATAAAGCATCAAAAGTTGCTGAGGTGTGTACAGTTTTTTGTTCGGAACAGTGTTCCAAGCTTTTGAGAAGCAGCCTTTGCAATTCCACCGACACGATTGTGCCAAGACATATTGGTGACCATTTTAACCCCCAACAAACTTATTGAAGCAGAAAGATAAATGTTTCCGATTCGGAAACATTTATCTTTTCAGAGAAAACCGATGCCTGGGTTTTTGTGGCATTGAATTGAACCTGGTTACTTTCACCCCAATTCGAAATAACTTCTAGATCCTCATTGAGATATTCAACCTCCTGCTGCCGGTGAAGATGTGCATCCGCAGCCGATGTCCTGGAATCCAAATGTAATGACGAAACAAGTGTGCAGCACAGCAATATAGTGGATTCTTGGTTTTATCCAATAAGTCGTTAATATACAATAAAAAGATGGTTGAAAACAATATGGATCCCTGGGGAACACCAGCGTTGATGATGAAAGTATTCGAGAGATATCCATCGACGGCCACTTGCAGGGAACGTTCTTTCAGGAAGCTGAAGAGTCATAAACAAAAATGATCCGACAAGCCATGGCATCGAAGTTTTGCCACCAAACCATCATCCCACACACAGTCAAATGCCTTAGAAATATCCATCACAACAGCTCTTGTGATTCTCCATGTTTCTCGATAGCGTTATTCCAAATATGGGTGACATACAATAGAAGGTCGCCTGTTGATCTTTGTTTCCGAAAGCTATATTGATTATTTATCGCTCAAAATGTTGAAGCCTTCCAAACATATGAGGATATGGTGGTTTACGCTTTCTCCATGTTTTTTGATATCACCAATAGCAAAGCGACTGGTCTATAGTTATTTGGAAGAGATTTCTTGGCCTTTTTGGAAATAGGATGAATGCAAGCAATCTTCCAACAAGGAAAAACCCCCTTCTTGCAAGACAGGTTGGAAAATCTGCAAAATACTGGTGTGAGTTCATTTGCGCACTTTTTAAGTAAGATGACGGCACTTCATCAGGTCAAGTAACTTCAGAAATGCTCCAAAATGTCGTTTCGCTACTAGCAGTTAATGGAGAACAGTTCAATGATCTATTGTGAATTAATTTAGTTTAAAATCATACACGGTTTTCCAACTTTCAGGTTTTTCAGCTTTTGTTATCTTTTTACGACTTTATTTATCTTATCTTTCAAATGAAGTTTCATAATTCAAAATACGGAATAGTTGTTTTTCGACAAGATGGGAAAAAACTTGTGGATTCACAAATGAACAGTCCTATAAATGTAATTTAATTTGGCACCTTCTTACCCTTCATGAAAATTGAATCCGCATAGGCAAAGCCAGTGTTGCTAACTAAACACATGCCCTTGTAGAAGGGCATATTCAAAGGTAAGTGATCCATAGATGTATACACTAAGCTTTTTTGGAAACAAATCACACGAAATTTCTATCCCATAAAGGCCAATCTCTCAAAGACGCTAACAGTTATTGTAGCCCAGCATGCGTTATTAGTTCAATATGCTCTCTTTCCGAAATCAGTTTAGTTGAATGATGATCAGAATTGAGAATTATGAAATGTTTTTTGTCAGTACTGAATAAGAAATTTTCAAGATGGTCTCACCAACACTTGAGATACCGTTTTCATCCATGAACGGATTGAGGCTACACATCTACACATTTTACTACTGTACTGCAGGAGTTTTTTCGTGACATAATTTTTTACTTCACATTGAAATGAGTAATTTCGTGCTATCTTTACTAAAATCTTGACAGAATCATTGCTCTTACACGATAGGATACCACGATGTCGTTTTTCCGCTTTCATTTGAGAGTTATGTTTGAATTATGTAGGATATATGTACCCTCCATAGTTTGAATGTTTCAACATTTTCTACTAGGAATGAAATGTGCTTCCCTCTTGAGATATGGAAAATAGTTACATCGCCAGGATGGTCGATAACACCATAGGTGCGGACAGAAATTATACATTTTTTCCCAGAAGGTTTAAAAAAACTTTATTCAACTTGCTGAAACATTTTGAGTATAAATAGATAGAAAAATTGAAACAAAACAAAATTAGGAATGAATATTCACAAAAAAAAAGTTCGAAAATGAAAACTAAGGAACAAAATGACGATCTCCATAAAGATATGCATAAAAATTAAATCAATACTGAGAAAGAGCAAGAAACACTTCGCCTAGCTATCTGAAGATGATTTCATTTTTGACGGACCTATATCTCTGAAAGGTTCTTATCCATTCGAAATTAGTTGGAAAAATTCCGAGAGTATCCTCTTGAGGGTAGAAACATTTATTATTTAGATGAGACTTGGTTGAATCAACGCCATACTGTCTCAAAGGTATGACAAGATTTAGAAACAAAAAGCTTTTATTGAAGGAATTTCAACAGGATTAAAAGCGCCAGCTGGCGAAGGTCGGAGGCTCATAGTAACTCATATAGGCAGCGATTTGAGTTATTTGGAAAACGTGCTTTTCATCTGCCATTGAGCACTGAAAAATTGAATATGAACGTGGCTTTTAAAACTGCTCGTACACTTCAACAAGTGTTGGGTAACAATAAAAAAGTATAGGATTTACTTAGCGGACTATAATATTATAAGGAACATGTTTCACATATTAGAATACACTTCCTCTGTTAAATTTTGATGAATTAATAGAGGTCCTACAATATGGTTTCCTAATATTCCTGCCCAAACTTTAATTTTTTCCCGGAAAACGTGAGGGTTGGTGTCACTCCAATAACGGCAATTTTGTCTGAGAACATTGCTGTTTAAAAAATATGTACATTCGTCACTAAAACAAATATTGTAGAGATAGGTAGATGCCTTGCAATGGTTTACATCATGATTTCGCAGAATTCTGTTCTTTGATCAGAGTCATCTTCAGTTGATTGGTGTACCATTTTAATTTTGTATGGATGATACCTATTCCTCTTCAAAAGTCTCCACAAAGTAGAAGGAGACACTTCACAAACATTCGCGACGGAATAAGTAAACTGTTCGGGAATTACTACCACCTCACCAATTATTTGCCCTTGCTGTTCTTCCGAAATGGACGGATGACCTGTCGGCTTTTTGTTATGTACACTACCGGTAGTTGTGAATTTGGATACAAGTTCCCTCAAATATTTTCTACAGATAGGACGATTCGGAAAACGTTCATTGACAATCCTTTCAGTCTCGTGAAAGTTAGGCGTCGCACCGTAAATAAAAATCGCTTCAATTTTTTCTTCCAATGGACGAAAATTTACCATTTTAGAGATTGTTGACGTGGTACCTTTCCAACTATTATAGTCGTTGTATATTCATGTCTTCCTATCAAGGTTAATTCGCAAGTGATTGATCCACCATTAAAGATATCAGGGAGGCATGTCAGTTTTTTCAGAAAGCCACTTCTGAAGTAGTAGATTTTTTCATTTACCTATCATAAAGTTATTCAGACGGTAGCGGTTGGTTAGCGTGAGTGGGTCGTTTTAACTTGTTGAATTAACAGCTATGTAAACGTTTTTCCATTCCAACTAGCACCTGTGACATTCTCGATTTCAACTGTATTTCGTCTGATATGTGGTAAATATCGTATGTTAAAAGTAAGACCTCGTAAATCCTTAGCTAAGATAAGTTTCTACTTCCAGGGGTTGTTTTTCGTATGAGAGCTACAGCTGATTAACAGAAACTGCATTTTAATATTTCTTTATCCAAGAGAATTACATTACAAACTTGTATTTAGTTTGCAATGTATGAATGTTAGTTCAGGTCAAACCTTGTAAGTGAATTTCAAAGCAGTGAGCCTCAACCAATGGAGTTAAAATTTTGCGTACATACTTAGTTTGGTTGATGACGTATAGTTAGAAAAGAGAGGTCACTCTCAATCCAATATGGCGGACCTCCCAAGATGACGGACTAGTTATTTCTTAGACAACAAGATACCTAACAGCTGTACTAATTTTGAAGATTTTTTACTCAACTCAAAAAGGTTAGGGATANAGGTTGTGATTCTATATATTTTCTCATCTTCTATTCTATTCAATAACAAACCGTGTTCTATTCATTAAAGAAACTTTCTGATAATGAAATGTATTCAACAGCATCAATGTTCATTAAATGAATTTAAAAAAATTGAATTATATTCTGCGACTAAAATTTATGAATGGCAACGTTGCATACACAGATATGTTTGTGGGGTGAAAAACAAAACGGCAGTTTAAATTTGCATAATACTAGGTACCTACATTTCTAGGAAAAGGATGAACACTAAATGAAAAAGAAATTTTATATCAGGTGAAAACCGAGGGATATGTTCAAGGACTGAAACAAGGGAAATATCATTATATATCAGTTTAATTTTGTGCTGCGAACTTAAAGCAATATGGAAGTGAAAGCACTCAAAGCAAACGCAGACGTCCGAATTTATCTGAAGGAGAAAAATCTGTTATATACAATGTGTATTGTGGGCTCTGTGAACACAATGAAAATATGTTACATAACGACGTAGTTAATCTGTGTAGTGATTTATCTGAAGTGTCGACGAGAATTCTTAAAACCTTTAAAGAAAATGAAGGTAAATAAGATAATGTATCTAAAGACATCAAAACTATAAGAAAAAAAAAATCAGCTTGATGATTGCACCAAATATGCTATTCATAGGAAATTCCATTTTGTTCTCAACCTTAAAAAAAGTCGCCGCCAAAATAAGTTGCGATGACCAGCTATCGCTGGTTGACAGGAAAACATAAAGTTAAATTTATAAAAAGAGGTAGGAATAGTGCTCTTATAGAAAAAGAAGAAATTGTTTTTTGGCGGAGAAATTAGTTGAAAAAATTCCGAGAGTATCCTCTTGAAGGTAGAAACATTTATTATTTAGATGAGACTTGGTTGAATCAAAGCCATACTGTCTCAAAGGTATGACAAGATTTAGAAACAAAAAGTTGTCGACAAGCTTTCATTGAAGGAGTTTCAATAGAATATTACTGGAGTTTTTTCCCAACACCATATCGTTATTTTTAGACCTCGACACCCTGTACATCCGATCTCAGATTTTTTAATGTCAATCATATTTCCAAAAGATGCAATTTTTTTACAAGTATGCAACTCCATCCGTAGACACACTGTATATTATTTTTCTCTAATTAATATAGTTCAATTATGATTTGTGAAAATAGTTGTTAAATACTACTACACTTGAAGTTAATTTTCCTTCCGTACGCCACTGCAAGATACAGATTAAGGCAAAAATGTCAGTCATTTCTGAGAATTTAGTCCCGATTATTTTGGAATTATAGTGGATATTAAAAAATTGTCCTAATTTAAATTTCAAAACTAACTGGGTGGCGGATAAAATGGTCTATGTGGAGGTTGATTTGGAGGTGGCGCATTGGTAGCGAAAAATGGTGGGCCTCCACTACTGACAACAGCTGTAAATGGAGGTGGATGCGCAATGTATGGAAACACAGATGGTGGTGGTGGGCCCATATGTGGTGGGGGAGCTGACAAGTGGGTGGTTGGTCCTGGAGGGGCGCTTAGAGATGACGGAAAGGCAGCAGCATAGGCACTAACTGGTGGGGCCCCTGTAAATGTTTGGTAGGGAAACTGTGGAATATCAGAGGGAGGCGGAAGTTTGGTGATGACTGGAGGTGGTTGGTCAGGTGATACTGATTTCTCTTGTCCATTTGAAGTTCTCGTTGATGCTGTAAACTGTTGCTGTGGCATTTTGTTGGGGTGTAGGGGAGGGCTATCAGGTGGATTGGATGAATCTACCTGCGAATAAAGGTCCAGTACCTGAAAAAAATACATCAATACATATAATAAATGTGTAACTAATTGCTGTCTGTTTGTCTGTGCATTTGCATGTACTAATCGCAAGAAACATATTTGAGTGCAGTTATTGAGGTTCAACATTGAGTGTTTCATTTATTATAATCGGTTCGTAAATAAAAAAGTTATGTTATTTAAAGAATCACATTTTGTTGGAAAAAATACTATAGAAATATTGTTCAGTTGATTTCACTAAAAATTTGGTTACCTGCATTTATAGGTAGTGAAACAATTCTCTTATAAATAAAAAAATAGGCAAATACATGAGAACTTTTTGTAGTTGAAAAATATGGGAACACCTAAAAACTGAAGTCCATGCGATCAAAGTCGCTTATTCAAATATTATCAGAATTTTTTATAGGAATATGCACATTTAGAATTGAATATGAAAAATCAAATTGAGAGAATGATGATGATGATATAGGTATAAAACTCTAAGTATTTCCAACTGTAAGTACACCACTCCACTCAACGTTTTGGAGTCAATAGGAGAATGAAAACGGATAGTTATTTTCATACAGATTAGCTATATGTTGGTAGGAAGCATATCATAGATTTAGTGCAGGAAAAACTAATTTTCAGTATATCTGATCTACCAAAAATCTGGACAAATCAAAACTCTTTTTCGATTTAGTAACAGTCCAAAGGATTTGTGGAAAGCTAAGCCAAAGTTTATACAGACTTAAACAAGAAACTCACAGTTTTACGAAATTTGAAAGTTTATCGGGGATTGAGATTCAATAGGAATGTGTTAAGTATCAGTCAAAGAAGAAGATAAAATCAGTTTTATCTTCCGCTTGAAGATGATCACTTTGTGATCGAAACACGTGTCGAGGTGTAAAAATAACGATTTGGTGTTGGGAAAAAACTCCAGTAATATTCATTACTACACCAAAGGTTCCAAACAGTATATCACAAATGTGTATAGCAACTTGAAATATGTAATACGACAGTTGAAGTTTCAATCTGTGAATGAAAAACGCTAAATCAACGAAAGGATTGAACTTTTCATCCCGCAGTGAGAAAAAATCTTGTACGCACCACGGGTGGAAAGTTCAGCATTCTCGCCAGCAAGATGCCATACTTTTCTCCCTAGGTGCATAATATACTATTTTTGTTGTTCACCATGACATGACACCTGTTTCAAGTACATCAAAGTGTGAGATAATTTATTTATTTAATTTGTAACAAAACCTCACCTGATGACAAATATCTTCCAATAAATCCATTGTGACATCTTCAACAAACATGTCCCACCATCTACAGTGTTTCGGAGACCTGCCTATCCAATCAACTACCTCAAATTTACTGAGTTTTCCAGCCAAATACATCAATGCAACAGCTATTATTTCAGGTTCCCACTGAAGTGCGAGTGTAGTGCATAGACTGTCATTAACAAATGTCCAAGCCATCTGCACCATTTTTTGCAATTTCTGTTTATCTCCTTTGAGACATTTCGCATATTTCAACAAATACTGATAGGGATGCTCTACCTGTAAGTCGAACTTGATGGTTTGAAGAAGTATTCGTTCCAGTGTCATAACCTGTTGAATAAAAAAATAAAAATGATTTAAAGATGAGAATGTATTAAATTAATAACAAATTTTGAAATTGGTTCACTTCAACACCTCAATGAAAACTGATAGTATAAGTATATGAATCAAGACCCACCTGTCCTCTGTTGATTCAAAACATCATTATTTTTAAGATATGTTAACAAGGTATTTTTGTAGATATATTAACGAAAAAATTTCGAACAACAGGTTACCAAGTAATGTATCGGCAGAAGGTGGTCTAAAAATTACTGAATGTTCAATTGCTTCTATTATGCTACTAGAACTAAAAGATATTTGACAAATTTTTCTGTTACGAATAATGGGTTACATGTTTGATCAAGGATTTTGCTGTCTGTCCTATAGTATTTGCTCTTTCAAGATTATGCCTATAGACTGAAGATCCTCATATCAGTTAAATATTGAGAAAATCACTCTTAATGAATGCCATTCCAGATTCGTGAATGGAAGAAAAACTAAAGTAAGACATTTCTTGTTTAAAATTCTGGACCCTGGAAAAAGAAAAAATATTCTACCTAATGCGCTTGTGAAAAAATATTAAGTACTTTCTTTATAAATTATGCTTGTTTAACTCTGTATTTACTCACCTCTTCCTTTGGATCTTCTCCAAAGGTGGCAAATTTCTGATCTGTCAAAGAACCTCTTGCAATTCTTATAATGTCTTTACATTTTTTTGGAGTTTCCTCAACTTTTCCAGCCAAGAAAAGGCAGCAACAGGCAGTCACATATCTTGGAAACTGCTTAAAAGAATGAAACATGTAGAATCTGTGATAATAAACTACTCCAGTTGCCATGGTGTTATACCCCAAGTCCATTTTGGTTCCAGTATCAATAATTAACCTAGCTCCTAAAATAATAATATAACAAAATGTTTCATAGAAGTTTTATAGTACTAACCTTCTTTGCGATATCGCATTTCAGTCTTGTAGTCAATTCCATCTTGGGCAGAGGGAGAATTTCTCAATTCCTTTTTATCATAATACCAGCCGGGCATTATAGCTGGGGTCACTACCAACAGATGATAGAATACTGGCACAGTTCCTCGACACCAAATGACACCCCAGAGTAATAAAACTCTAAGCTTGAGCTTGACACAGGAGAGCTTTCTTTGAACTGACTGAAGGTTTGTTCGTTCTGAGACAGTAATCAACCCTTCTACTGTGACTGTACAGGTTTGTTCTGGTTCAACGAAATTCTGGTTCTAGGACGTAAGGATCATGCGCAGTTGATATAGACCGTTCTGGTTTATTGAGGATAATTTCGGACTGATGAATCCTCTGTTCTGGTTTCGACTGCGAAATGATCCTGAACTGTCTTGAACTGTCCCGAGTTGTACTTGCTCTCGAGGCTGAACTATTGAGAACTGTTCCCGTTGCTCATGCGCATTCATGGGGAAATTTGTTCTGGATTCTGGATCTGGATCCGATAATGTTTGGAAACTGCGCTGGACATGATGCGTTGAATACTGTGCCATCTATCGTATATATGAAGAGTTTTAATTTGGCATGCAGGCAGGCACCTTTGAAATATATTCACAGTTTGAGTTGGCTGTCATTTAAAAGTTTTTGGATGTTCACTTTTAAATTGAAACGTACAACACTTCAGTTTTGTTTATTTTTTCATTTTCATCATCATTTTTGTAACCATGTCAAATGAAAATTATATAATTAATAAAATATTTTTCAAAAGGTTATCAACTCTTGGAATTTTTGATCCCCAACAGTGAAAATAAGGATGTAGATAACTTTTTGAATAGAGAGAAAATTCGCGTAATTTCACAGTTATATAAAGTATACAAACCAAAAGTTCCGCAGCAGAAAGAATTTGAAGAATTGGTTTATCATCATCAGAAGATAACGACGATGATGATGGAGACTTTAAAATGCTGTTGATCGTGTCCATTTTATAATGTATGTGTATCCTTGTTATAGTTCTGTGCCTTGTAGTCAGAAATCGAGTTCAAATCTTACCTAACCACAATCACAAACAAATTGAAATTGCCACAGAATACGCATGAGCAATGAAAACATTTGAGGCTCGAGACACAAACTACTTACTCTCGGTGGTTTGTGGCTCGAGAGCAAGAACGATTCGTGATGGTCCAGATGTCGATGGTCCAGATTAAGATTCCTGTCCAGATCCTACAACAGTTGACGAAGCTTCAAATCGACAAGATTCAGAACTATGGAGAGAAGTAATGAAAAATAACTTGGAATCACTATAGGAAAACAAAATTGGATAATGGTCGATTTATATGGAAGCGCAAAAGAGTTATTTGTTTCTTGGAAATTACGGCTTCAATCTTTAAATTTCGACTTTGAAATTATTACTTTGAACTCGTAATTTCGAAGTTACAAGATTAAAGTTGAAATTACGAGATTAAAGTCGAAATTTCGAGTTTGAAGTCGCAATACAGATCAAATGATTTGGACGAGCGATCATCTATGACAGGATATTATGTATTCAACCTACAAGCACAGTGGCTTCTTAAGAGGTAATGTGGTCACGAAATTTCTTGAAACTTTAGGAGAAACTGATGTTTTTTATCCGCAAGAACTAGCCATATTGATGTACGGCATCATTTCGTTCGGAACAGAATAGAAGAGAAAGAAATTCAGCTGGTACCTATCAGTACAAATGAAATGGTTGCCGATAATTTGACAAAGCCGTTATTTGGAAAGAAGCACAAGTTTTGCACAACAGCAACACGCCCATTTTTAGTGGGCGTGTTAAAGTGGAAAACTTGCTATCTATACTGATGTTTAGTTTTTTGTTGTTTCCATGTCGATATTTTATGTAGTTGTAAAATAAAGCATCCTCAAGTTCAACTGTTGTACAATTCGGCACTGATCGTCTACTACATTTAGCATTGAACACTTATGGCTTCCTTAATAAATATTTGGAATGGTAAATTTAATACAACAATCAACATTGAACACTACTTTCTACTACATTTCGAATTAAAATTTTTTTCAAAAACGTTTTAGAAAATGTCATAGGTTTTTATGCTGTTTGATCTCTATTCCAGACGCTACTTTTCATTAAATATCAATCAACTGATTCTTCGGATGGTGAGGAAACGCAAAATCTCATATTACTTGTGAAATGCTTGTCAAAATTGTTGATAGTGTCAATATTATCCTTGAAGTTTCTGGGTTATTTTGTTGATACTCTGGTGGGCACAAAAACCGTCACTGTCTGAAGGTTAAGATTTGGGTGTCAACATCGCTGTTACTGTTATGGAGTTTCAGGTCGAACACAGGATTATTCAATAGCAAACAAATTTAATGAAAACAGATATGAAAATCTCAGAAAAATAAATTCAACTAACTTGTGACAGTGATAACTCTATCAAGACTTTTTTTTAATAAAATAGAACCTTTGTATATAGGCTATATATACATGTATATAGTCTATATACAATGATAGAACCTAATACATGGTGATGTAGATTAAATTCTTGTTCATTCCTCAATAACTGTGTTTATGGCTTTATTTTTGAGAAGAATCTCTAATAATATACAATAATATTCGGTAATTCATACCAGGTTTACAAGCACGATTTGTATAGGTATGCAGGCTATATATCTGTGGTACATATTCATAATAAATTAAACAGTGCAGTATTTTCTGTAAGAAAATATTAGCAATTTGTTAACTACGGTTTAATGAGGCACATCGTTTGAATGTGTTTATGAGATAGATTAATTTATATATAAATTGATGGATGTAGCCGTTACTACGTGATAGGAAATCATAATGAAGAAATGAGAATTGAAACTTCATATGTTTTTTACCGCTTTTATTTGTAACTAACGTTACTGCAGTTTCGTCCTATAAGGACATTTTCAAACTTATACAATATAAAGTTTGTGTATAAGTTTGAAAATGTCCTTATAGGACGAAACTGCGTAACGTTGGTTACAAATGAAAGTGGTAAAAAACATAGAAAGTTTCAATTCTCATCTCTTCATTAATTTATATATTGGTATTTGATATTTCAAAAGAGGGGTATTCTAGATGCTCATACTGAACATTACTGTGAATTAACCGAGAGAATTGATATATGAAATTTTATTTTTGATTTTCAATCACTGTATACACTTTTTCAAACTTAGTAAAATCTAAAGTTATCTGAAGAAATTACCTATTGACAATAATATTTCAGACTATGTAATTTATTCTACATTGATTTGAATTAGATCTTTAGTGATAGTATAGTATGTGTCAAACCGGTGATCGTGATCGAACACTATGTGACTTAAATTGAAAGGGGTATATTTTTAGTACAGGATAACTTTTGGGAAAGAAAGGTTTTTGACTTTCTTCTTCTCCATCTCAATACAAAAAAATGTGGGAATCTTCCAAAGAATTAAAGGAAGTAATTAATTTCAAAAAAGTAACTTTTTACAAAGATATGTAAATTATGCAAAGAAGTAACTTTCAGACACAAACTGGAAGAAAATGCGCTCCCGATCGATTGATTGCTTCCTTCCTTTCTTTGAAGGATTCCCACATTTTTTTTATCAAGATAGAGAACTAGAAAGCCAAAACCTTTCTCTCCCACTATATGTGATATATTTCATCAGTACTGTTTCATAATCCTGTGGATTTTTACAGTTTCTTTCAACCTACAAAATCATTTCGAAATAATTTTCTCAAAAACTAAATAAAATAACTTCAATGATACCATAGTACCCATATTTATCTCGAATACATTATGAATAGTCTCTACTTTTTTTGGTACTTTTACCATTTTCACTAATATTTATCTTCATTCACTTGATAACAAGGATGGAATGATTGAGAACTGTCCTCTTTCATTTCAAGGTCATGAGAAGTTTAATATCTTCATTTGAAAATATTGTTCCTCTGCTACTCTGCTGTTCTACAGGTCTACACCAATCAGAATCACAGATGATTAAAAAGTAGCGTCAAGCGTCATTTTGTTGGCGTCGCTTTATTAAGTTTTTTAACGAAGTTTTCAAGTGTGTTTCAATAATTTGGTTATCTCTTTATTTATCGTTATAGAACTTTTTTCCACGTGAAATATACATCGGTCAAAACTTTAACTTATTTTGTAAGAAATAAATTGAAAGCTAATTTTGACTTTTCGCGCCTCTCTTCAAACAAGTTTTCAAAATCTAACCTTCCTTGGATTTGTTTTGTTGATATTTCACAGATTATTTTTTTAAATATTGAAATTGTTTGGAATGGTGGGCAAAACGAAAACTGCCAACAAAAATTCTGATCGAGATGATGTTGAGAACGTAGAAAAAAAGGCGGCTTCTACGCGGCAGAAAAGCCCTGGGAGACCTAAAAGTCCAGGACGATCTAAAAGCCCCACTCGACAGAAAAATGTGGGGAGACCTAAAAGCCCAACCACCCCCACCAAGTCTAAAAGTCCAGGCAGATCAAAAAGTCCAGGAAGACCAAAAAGTCCAGGGAGGCCAAAAAGTCCAGGGAGACCAAAAAGTCCAGGGAGGCCAAAAAGTCCTGGTAGACTGAAAAGTGACACAAGCCCTGTTAGAATGAAGTCTGAAACTCCTATAGTGAGACCTCCTACTCCAACCCGAATGAGCAACAGAGTTCGTAGTCCAACCAGACAAAGGAATGCTTCGCCTACTTTTACGTCTACACCTGTCCGTACTCCTTCAAGACGAAGTCCAATTCGTCGTTCTCCAGCAAGAAGCATGAAAGAATTGTCAGTTGACAAAGAAAAAGGTAATAAGGTAATATTTTGAAATGCAGGAAATTTCAATTTCATGGTGAAACATTGATAATGCAACTGAAGTCAAAATTTGTTGTTTAGGAGATACATTGAAAGACAAAAATGTCAAAAATGAATCATTTAGGAAACTCGCTTTTGAAATATAAAGGATCATTTTTGTAATATATGTAATATTGCTTGATAGACATTGCAATTCAAAATAGGGGATATTTTGTTGTTGTTTAAATCTATAAGTTTGAATATATAGAGATAGGCAGGGTTAGGATTCCAGACTTCTTGAACAATAGAGGCAACACTCCCATTATATATCTTGATATTTTTCAGCATAATGAATGCACCATTTGTATAACTTGAATATCCCCAGAAAATGAGGCCATATGACAAAGCACTCTGAACATGGGCAAAATGTACCATTTTCAATATATCAAATCTAACTATATTTCAAAATTGCTCCAATAAAAACCAAACGGAGCTCAATTTGGCTACCAACTTATTAACGTATCCTTCCCAAGTAAATTTATGGTCTATTGTAACTCCTAGGATCATAACTGAGCTTTTAGGTAAAAATATTATGAAAAATGTTTAATTGATATTAACATATAATCCATTGTTTCAATCATAAAATGCTTGAGCACCAATATTTGCCTTTGCACAACACCCTTGAGCTGTAAGGTTAAACCAAAAGGAAATATTTTATATTCTTATTATAATTTGTCAAAATTTATTGGTAGTCACTGTAAATGTAATGAAATTTTGTTATAGAAGCACCTTCAAAGAAACAAACAGTTCTGAATACTGACACTGATTCTGATAACCCAGAAAGTATCCTCGAGGTGAAAGAGAAACCCAAAGCCACAGTTAGGGGCCGAACTAGACAAACTAATGAAATAACAGACCCAGAACTAGAGGTAAGTGAAAGTGGAAATATATGTTATACCAGTATTAATTGTGTTGTAATAATGAGTTTAAATTATTGGAGATCTCTTGATATGTATTTTATCAAAAGATATTGTATTGCTGCAGTTGAATCCACTCTACTGACTTCAAAATATGCAAAAATGATTTGAGGAGAAAATAACTTCCTAAAAAAACTTCATGTTGTGAAGTTTACTTGTAGGTAAATTTTGATTACCATAGATTCAGCCCTTTTAGTTTGATGATATATGTAACTTCTTAAATTGAACTCTTTGGCAAAATCTAGGTAAAAGATGTAATCTGACAGCTAACAGAACTTTGCCATTGATCCCTTTTAATGAGATCAGATGAAATAATCATGTATAAACCTTATCAATAGGAGTCGGGAGGTATAAGGTCACCTGTTAAAACTTTGATATGTATACTTGAGTTTTTTTCACCCAGTGTACTTAAATAAAATAAAAGTATCCAGCGCTGAATGTGCTGCACTTGTGGAATACAAATGAAAATTAAGTTTCTCTCTGGTGAAGGCAGTTGTGTTTTGGTAAAACCACTATACAAGGATCCCGCCAAGAGAAATATGCCGAATGCCAAATCCATACATCTTGTCAATAGAAACCATCTCCAAAATAAAATTTTAAAATTTTAGATTTCAGCTGGTAGAACCCTTGAAAATAAACAAACAGCAGGCTAGGAAATGAAAAAAATTGTGATTTTGTTTGATGCTGCAGAAAAACTACAATACTTCATGAGATGAAACCAAAAAGCCTATCCTTAGGTACAACCCTAACAAAATGAAAAAAAAGTAGAGCATTTTTTATTAATCATTGATAAATATAACTTTCAAAAAACAGAAGCCATGGTGGACTTGATTTCTCTGTATAAAATACTCATTCTTCCAATCGATACTGATCCATAGGACTTTCTTTTGGAACAGATCTGGAACTTTACCTCAATCACACAATGGATTCATTGACATGGCACATTCAATTTTCTCAAGAAGAAAATCAATTCACCGGAGTTTAGTCCCCTTTACAGGTTGGTCGTGAATGTCCTGAAATTTCGGTAGTTGCCAATCAGAACTCAGTGCTGTTTGAAATAGCAATAAAGTACAGCTAACCAAATATAGAGTTCACACCTGATGAATAAAGTAATCTACAATAATAGTGGTGTGTAGATGACGCCATCACCTTAGAGATGTCACTAGAGGAATCACCATGGAGTTAATATTTTTTATTATCTGTTAGATGTGTGATAGAATTGGTTAACTACTTGATGAAAATCCACGATTACATATTATTATTAACACTTCACAAAATCGTGTCACGTGTTTTACTACACAATGGCTTCTTTAGGCATTTTCGGTATGAAATAACTTAATTTTTATATAAAGCTTTTACCTAAGGTTAATTGGTATTTAACACAATAGAAGGAGCTCTTGTATAGTGAAAAGATCAAAAAAGTTATTTTAATCTTCAAGGTAGTTATACTTTCCGATAACAGAGAGGCCCTAGACTTTTAAAGTTTGAAATGTCTGTATATAGAAAGATACAGAATGGAACTTGTAGGTCATCAAAGCTAAGATACCCTTTTTTGTTTATGGTCCACTACAATTCATGTTCTGTTGAAAGCTTTTCCATGAACGCTATGAAAATTTTGGGGCATAGTATTTTGTATATACCTAATGTTTCAATGGAAAATAAGTTCAAAGGTACATACTAAGGTGGAAATTTAATGAGACCTTAGGCTTTCATAGTTGTGATCAATGAAGGATCTAATTGTTTTCTTGCGTCCATTAATTTTTCTATATTTCTTAATTCAATGGAAACCTGGTTGGCAATTTTCGGTCCAAAGTAAGTAACAAACCTTTGGGTATATACGTTTTTACACGTTTTCTCGGATTTGGCTCGGGTGTCGTGTATGTGTGTCAGATATATGAGAGACGAGTTCAACGTCCATAGTACACACTAATAGGTATATAATTTTCTGATATTGAATAAACTAGCCTCCTTATATAAGCTGTCAGTTGGATGTCTTCTATCTTTCTTCAATACTATTTTAAGAAATGTATTTTGTATCACTTGAAGATTATGTAAGTGTGTTTTATTCAACCCACCCCAAACAATAATACAGTACCTTATAACTGATTCAGCTAATGCATCGTATGTCATCAGTAATAAATGTTTATTTAGTATGTTTCTGAGTTGGTAGAATTTAAAAATAAGTTTTCTAAGTCTTTTCACGAGAAAATCCACATGTTTGTCCCAGCGTACATGTTGGTCAAGTATCACACCCAGATATTTTATTGTATTCGTTTTCTTTATATGTGGACAAGAACAAATTAAAGGAGTTTGGCAATTGGGAGTATGTATGAAAATGTTTCCCTCTAGTGGTTGGTTTCTTATTGTTGATGAAAAGGTTAAGAATTTTATTTTATCGACGTTTTGATTCAGGAGACTCAAATTCAGCCACGTGAATATACTGTTCAATCCATTTTGTGCTTTTGCATAAGTAGAGTCCCATGTGTTACCATAGAAAATCAATGCCGTATCATCGGCAAATGAAACAATATCACCATCGAAGTCCTTCAGGTTGTAAATGCTGTTAATATATATTAGAAATAGAATTGGACCCATGCCAGTGATCTGGGGAACACCCATGGCGACTGGTTGTGACTGGCTATTAGTGTCGTTCATTTTGACCCTTTGGGTTCGGTCTTGTAAATAATCAGCTAGTAGTTCTAGAGGCTTACCCCTCACTCTCACATTTCCTAACCTTTGTAACAAAATATCATGATTAACAGTGTCGAAGGCTTTGGCCAAATCTAAGAACACTGCTAGACATTTTTTCTCTTCGTTAGCTTTATTCAGTATTTTATTCACCAAGTGAAAAACGGCGTTTTCGGTTGACATATTTTCTCTGAATACATATTGGCAAGGTGATAGAATCTGATGTTTATCCAGAAAATTTACAAGTCTATTTTTTATGCATTTTTCAAAAAGTTTCGCAAAGTTATTAATTACCGATATAGGTCTATAGTTTGTTACAAATTTTTTGTTTCCGGATTTGAAAATAGGCGTTGTGATGGCTTCTTTGAAATTATTAGGAATCAAGCCATTCACAAAACATTGGTTGAATATATGACATAGGGGATCAAGAAAGTATTGGTGACATTTTTTTATTAAATAAACAGGTACTTTATCGGGGCCAGTAGAAGTATTGTTTTTTTAACAGAAATAAGATTTATTAGTTCATTGCGTGTTACTGAATGGAGAAATAGGGACTCTTGAATATTTATTTGCTGTTCAGGGATGGGAGTAGTTGTTTTATCGATTTTACTTTCCATGTTCAGGCCAATATTAGTGAAACATTTATTGAAATAATCAGCTTTGTTTAGGTCATCTACAATTTTGTCTCCCTTTTCATCAATTATATCATATTGGGTCCTGTTACTAGAGTAAGTTTTTTTATTTGTTATTTCATTGATTTGCTGCCAGATTTTTTTTTATTTTTATTTGCCTCTTTTATTTTATTCATATAGTAATCATTTTTAGTTATTTTAGGAAGTGAGTTAAGATAATTTCTGTAGGTTTTATACTCTGTTTTGGAATTTAGAGTTTTAGATTCATTGAACTTTTTCTTCAGTAGATCTCTGTGTCTGATGGAATAAAGTAGACCCTGTGTCATCCATGGTTTAAATTTTTTATGATTTTTATTATTTTCGTTTTTATTTGTTTTGCTACATCTTGCAATGGTTTCAGATATCTTGTTTATAAATTTGTTGTAGGCTAACTTTGGATCCTGTGTTGTCAACACCGGTTTCCATTTTTCTTTTGAAATAAGTTTTTCGAATTTGAAATAGTTGATATATGTGTTTTTTTGTTCTTTTCTATATTCAGTTGTTTGACTGGGAAGTTCGATAGATAGTAACAACATATAATGATCAGTCAAGTTTAAGGTGAATACTGAAGAGTTGAAACAAAATTTTTTTTTTCACTTTCATTGGACATTTTCACGAAAATATGATCAATCAAAGTCAAGGATGTTTCTGTCCTTCTGGTTGGTTTATCAATATAAGAAAAAAATCCTTGATGTGCCATAATACAAATGTAATCATTAACCTTTTTGTCAGTGGTATCCAGGATATTAATATTGATATGGCCTATGAATATTTTTAATATTGTCGACACTAGCTTGTTGTGTGAAGTAGTTCTCTAATTCTTTCAGATACAATTCCATGTCGATGTCGATACAACATGTCGTTAGTATGAATGACGTGCTCTCTAATGTATACAGAAATTCTAATATTTTAGTTTCACTAAAATGTTTTACATCGGTTATGTAATCCAGACCATTTTTTATATAGACAACCACACCGTCGTTCTGATTAAAGTAGGATTCGTTATATACAATATCAAAATTTGGTATTTCAAAGTTACTTATGTCGTCCACTCTCCATGATTCCGAGAGAACAATTATATCTAAATTGTTAACAGAAATAGATTCTAAATACAAGAGCAATTCATCGAAATTTTTTTTAAGCTTCTAATGTTCAGATGAGTAATATTGAATAAATGCTTACCACTGAACTGTTCTGTGTTTTCGAATAAACCATTATATACCGTTGCCTCCCTCTCCGCGTGCTTATCCAATTCATTGAGAAAGTCGATCCTTGATGAGTAATTAATTTACTAATGAGAAACTATAATAAAATAAGAATATGAAATACAAAATCAAAATATTCAAATCATTCTAATCAGGCTCCTTAATTTAACTTTTTAGCTCGAACAGTATATTTCTAAATCTCGATTTTTTTAGTGTTTCCCTCAATTTTTTCATAGATTTGTCCGTTGAAAGACCATGCATTTAGTTTTCCGAAAGTATCTTTACTTTTCATTAGTAAGGTTTGTCTGCTTTTCACTAGGTCTTCGGTAATGAAAATGTTTTTTCCTTTCATTTTTTAACTTTTTTATTATGGCCAATTTACGGTTGTAGGATGTTAATTTCACTATGATTGGTCTTGTTTTATCTTATTGATTTTGCCTATTCTGTATATGTCTAATAAATGCTCGTCCTGTAAGGAGGAGTCAATATTCTCGTTCAATAATTTCACTACTTTATTTTTCAGTTTCTTCATTCACCCTTTATAAACATATATTATTAATTCGTTCTTGTTGGAGAGAATCGATTTTTATCTCTAATATTTCTATTTTATAATCCATGGTTTTTACTTCTTCAAGTTGCTTTGTTTTTTGTTCGATCCTAGCTGCTATGGTTTTTGTTATATTCATGACAAATTCCTCACTCGAGAATAGCTCGGTGATGGTATCTTTGATGATGGATTGTAGCAGTACTAAATATCGTCCATATAAACTTTGAACAGCAATGGTCCCAAATGGAATCCTTGGGGAACACCTGATGGTACTAAACTTCCAGAAGATTTAAATCCGTTAACTCGAATTATCTGTATCTGATTAGTGAGATAACTTTGTATCCAAGATAAGAGAGTGTCGTAATCTGTAATTTTCAGTTTTTTGTTTAATAAAATTGGTATATTCGTTTAATCTTTTTAATTTAAAAAATTTTTTTCAGGGATTTCAAATCAATTTATATTAAAAACGTAAATTATGTTTTTTCTTCAATACCCCGTCATTCTTCTACATACATAGTTATCTACTGAATACAATTTCCTATATTCAGTTTGAATTTTTTAAGTTTGTTCAAGTGAATTGTGAAAGGAGGAATGTAGATCTTGTCTAAATCCAAATCAGTAGCTTGAGATTTCATTATTCAGCTGTTGCAATAAAATTTTTCTAAATGTGGTCTCATCATTTTTAATGCCTAATTCATTCACCTATATTCTCTTAGGTTTGAAATAAGCTGAAACTTTTTAGACAATGGGAATGCAAAATTCTACCAATCAAATTTTCTTCAGAACAAGAAGAAGAAGAATATATTTATTGAAATAGGTAACCCTAATATACAATATTATATAAAACATATTACTAACATTATAGAAATTAAAAATAATTATAAAAAACTTAAAATGTAGATATAATTTGAAAATAATAGTTTGCAAAATAATGACATATGCTATTAAAAATACATTGCAATATAGGTGCAGCTCCAATACAATGATAAAAAGCAGAAAACAACATACAAATACTATATTTATTAATATTATCTTACCAAATATTATTCTATCTAGCATTATGGATGGATTTCAATAACTGTTTTTTAAAAATACTTAATGATGGACTAGAGTTAATTACATTTGGTAATGTTCTGTATGCATCAAATCCTTTGAAAAATAAAGAATTCATGGCACTTCTCCTATTTATTCTGCATAAATGCAAATTAGTATGATTTCTTGTGGCATATTTGTGCACTACTCAATTTACACTAACAAATTTAGAAAAATATGAAGGTGATAAGTTATTCAGAATTTTATATATAAATTTCATAGTTAAGTAGATTCCTAGTAATGGAGTGAAATCACATCAAAATTCGAATGCCACATAACAATGCCTTTTAGATTTATTTGCAATTGTATCATTTTCACGGCTGGCGTCAATGTTTTGATTGGCTTCCAGGTTTTGCGGTGGTCTTTTTTAGTTATAATCTCCAAACATTTCAGTTGACACGCCAAGAAGAGTACTTTAACTGCCGCAGTCATCTTTAGTCAGCTTGGAGATTATAACCAAAGAAGACCACCCGTGAAAACGCATCAAAATTCGAATGCCACATAACAATGCCTTTTAGATTTATTTGCAATTGTATCATTTTCACGGCTGGCGTCAATGTTTTGATTGGCTTCCAGTTTTTGCGGTGCCGGAAGCCAATCGAAACATTATATATTATTTTGGCGGATATTATTGATAATTTTTTTTTTTCAGCTTGACATGAAGCCATCGATTGTATCTGATGAAGTAAATACCTTTGGGTTGGTACGTAGATTCACCCGTTCTTCCCAATCCCGGGAGGTTGAACGGGTAGTACATTTGAAACATTTTGACTCCGTAACTGTTACCAAACGATTGGGCGAATTTTCCGATGAGGATGAACTACATGAAAAACATTTGAAGACCGACCTTCAAGAACATTCTTCAAGTAGAAAAACTGCCGAGTTCGGAGGGCTATATGGATCTCTGTTTCTTATTCTAGCAATACCACTCACCATTTTGAGTTTATACATTTTTCGTTGCGAATCACAATGTTCTTTTGAAAGCTTGCCAGTGTTAGACGAGCTCAAGTCTCTTGATATGTATTTTGATTCAAAGTCTTTCCTTGGCTTTACAGCATATGTCGTAATTTTAGCCATTCTTTCTGCTTTACCTACAGGTGGCAAAAAAGTTAGTAGTCTTCCAAATAAACATGGAAAAGTCAACTATGTTTTGAACGGATTCCTTGGTTTTGTAGTATTCTTATTGATCGCTGTTGGCTTGGAGCTGAAGAATATTCATGTTGCTGATTATGTTGTTGATCACATTTTTCACTTGTTAGTCGCATCAATATTATTTGGATTTGCTGTCTCTATAGCGGTTTACATAAGAAGTTTTTATGTACCTGTTAGTGCACTGAATGTCCATGCAGTTGGCAAAAACAGAATATATGGATTCTTCATGGGACAAGAAGTGACTCCCAGATGGTTGAACCTACTGGATTTAAAGATTCTGTTTTTCAGAGGAGTTGTTATAGGCACGGTGAGTATATTTTATTGGAATTATTTCCTTTGATTTCGTTTCATTAATTAAATAATGTCCGCCCCGGCTACAATGCTGATAGTGAATAGACATATTAAAGCGCGTGATCACTGCTAATCATAAAGTGCTATAAGGCGAAGCGCGGCCTGTGACACGCTTTTTATAGGCACGCACCGCCGGTTCCCGGCCCGTACCGCGCAATTACTGATACCTTCCAATATATTTATTTAAATTACGTGTTCTAAAAGGCCATGCACAATGTATTTAAGGTACTTTAATTGGATAAGGATTAATGCTGTATTGCTTAAAGTTGCTTCATAAATAAGCCATCATTTCTCGTAAAAAGTAAATGATAAAAAATGATAGACATATACTATCGCGGACTTTTTTGTAGACCTTTTAAAGGTGTACAATACTGTAAGACATTTTTTTATATATCCATATATAGCATTTTATATCGGTGAAATCTGAGGTGCATCTTCTTAGGAAGCTTAGTATTTTGGGAGAGTTGCCTAGGAGTAAACCCAAGTTCTTATTTCTGTAACATTACTGAGTGGAACTTGATTATAGTATAAGAGAAAGTTGAGGGGATATGTTTACAGCTAAAAATTATGAAATGGCATTTGCATGTATTAAGTTTCACTGTCAAAACACCAACTGGATAGTTGGTTCAGCTTGCTCTGGAGTTCTATACAGTCGTCCGGTGAATCGATTTTCTTGTAAACTTTCAAATTATCTGTGAAGCTTAGAAATTCTGCATTAGAAAAGCAGTACTAAATATCGTCCATATAAACTTTGAACAGCAATGGTCCCAAATGGAATCCTTGGGGAACACCTGATGGTACTAAACTTCCAGAAGATGTAAATCCGTTAACTCGAATTATCTGTATCTGATTAGTGAGATAACTTTGTATCCAAGATAAGAGAGTGTCGTAAATTCTCATGTAAGTTTTTGTAATAATGAAGTATGGTTGACTTTGTCAAACGCTTGTGTAAATTGAATGAACTTGACTACCTACGTCTAAGATGGTCAAGAGATAATCTACATAGACAAGCAGAATGAGTTCAGTCGACTTCCCTGAGCGAAATTCAATTTGTTAATTATTAAGTAATGGATCTAAGATTAGTGTCAGAATAAGAAAATCTAGAACTATGGGAATGCTACTTTGGATGCAGATTGCTCTGTAGTTTGTAATATCAGACTTTTTGCCAGATTTGTGTATAGGGGTTTCAAAGCTATATTTCTAAAAGTCTGGAAAAATGTCCTGTTCAATACAGATGTTGAAGATAATGTGTAAAGATCGTGCTAGGACAAAGCTACAGTGCTTAAAAAATGATAGAGGAATACCATCTGGAACAGGACCTTTAGAAGCATTCAAGCTATTTAATCTTTCATAGATTTCGGAATTTAACAGGCACAGATTGGAAACGGACAAGAGAGGAGAGTTCACAGGTTCTTACTCGGGACAAGTAGAGTACACTGAGCTAAAGTAATCTTGGAACATATTGGCAAGCTCAAGCCCCGAATGGGCTTTCTTCTTCAAGTTTCAAATCAGATGAGAACCATCTGGGAAATTTTTTTTGTTGAGCATTTTTTGATAGGTACAAAATGGTGAATGTATTCATAAATTATGTCAGCATTGAGCATATCTTGGGGTGATTTGTTGAGTAACAGTTGATCCCAATTGACAAAATCCAAATAATATTGTATAAATTTAAAATCAGCGTTTTCGAAACTATAATAATACTCATCAATCACAGGCGTTAAATTATTAGTTGAAGGTTTGTTGATACTAACTAATAACGGGGGATATTTGTTTGGTGTTGTCAAATGTTCATCGGATTTTGTACACAATGAGTCAAAGTTATCCAGCAAGGGACCATAGTAGTTGCGAACGTTATTTATCTGAAATAAATTGTAAAAAACGCACATAATAGAAACAACATTAACTGCATTCATTTCTGCACTGCTTGAACCAACAAGTGATGTGGCCAAAGAACATGAGTCGTCATAGGACCATATGGCTTTGGGAATACTGAAATCAATTACAATCAAGATTGGTATCTCTATAGATCTCTCTACTGAGGCGTTTTCTGGCGCTCATGTATTCAAAACGTATTTGTCTGTGATTCAAATTACATTCATTATGGTGTTGAAACAATACGTCACATTAACTATGACTTGAAATGTATTCATGATGATTCAAAACTAGCGTAAGGTTGGTTTTAAAACGGAATTTGACATTACATTACGTCAGTTGTCACTTTCTGCTTTATTTTGATCGTTAGTTTATAAAGTGCTAAAAACTTTTCATCAAATACGTTATAAGGATGTACAAAATAAAGCTGGAAAATTATTATTTGCACAAATCCAATTCTAATCGGGTTAGAGAAAATTGAAAAGTTTGTCTTTATTATTGAATTTGACTTCTGATACAAATTGAATCATTCCATTCTGGCGTATCTGATTATTAATGACATAACTACGAATCGTTTTTCAATACAAGCTTGACTACAATTAAACGCCAGGAAACACTTCTAGTCTATCTAAATATTCGGCAAACACTGAATATTTGTCCGCTGCTGAAAAGGGTGGAAAATATACTGTGCTCAGAATAAAATTACGTTCGGAAGTTTCAGATCTATTTCATTTGGAAGGTAACAGCTTGTCTGCTCTGATCGGTCTTTACGAGAAATAAAGATTTCTCCCCGCACAGTAAATTCTAGCTTCCGTTTCGTGTTTGGTCCACTCTTGCTTTCTCCATCATTACAAGATATAGAGAAGTAAGATTCAAGAGTGTCTCCAATGCAGCTGTTGTGGTTTTAATTGCTCCCATTATTCCCAAACATGTAACTCTGCTCCCTGCTTAGTTTGTTAATAGCAGTCTTTTCTTTCATCTTAGGCCTTCACCATAGATGCATATGTTATCATGGATTTAACTACCATGGTTTAGAGCCAATATATCCTGTCTGGTTTGAGCCCCCATTTCTTTCCATAGATGCATCTGGCCAGCATCAATGCTACCTCTGCATGACTTTGATATGCAAAGCTGTTATTTGGTAGTCTTTATATTGTTGAATATTTGGACCCAATGCATTGTTCTGAAACCTGTATACAAAATCTTTTTGGATGATGTTCCTCATCTTAAACTGCAATTAAAAGCGTAATGTGATGTATTCTTTAACCTAGATGATACCAGAGCCTAACAGCATTACAATTGTGAAAGCTGTTTTTGAGTTTCCACAGATTTCATAATGTTTGAACTCTTCTGTCTTGAAAAGTCCTATTCATGAGATTGGCAGAAACATTAAACCAATAATGTTGAAGGTAAACAAGCTTTTACATCATCCATCGATTGAGAAATTGTTTTCTGTATCTTTACAGCATTTACTGCAACTAGCACAAACGTGCTACATTCGTGATCCAGTATCAATACCACAGTAAAATAAAGAGTTGAAGTACTGTCACTTAAGGATGATATTAAAGAGAATACTTAAGTGTTCTTGGGATATGAAATTCTCTGGATTGAAATGAGATGGCGCTTTTTTCATAATCCAAAAATAATCAAAAATAAATTTATTATATTATTTTATTATATTTTGCTCATTGATATTATTTAAAAAACCCACTTGGATATTGAAATGAAACAGAAATTATTATTCATTTATTCATGTTTTTAACATTATTTCAGATTTTGCTTGACTTTGCTTTTCTGTATAAATCCCTGGACTATCACTGGACCCTTGAAAATACTAAAGACGAAGTTGCACCTCTTGATCCAAAACTACTGAACCTTCAACCAACTTTGCTGGTGTTCATTGTGTTGAGGACAATTTATCACTTGGATTCGCTGATTTTCGAATCTTCTTGGATAACTTCCTTCACCCTTCAACAAGAGGGATTTGGATATATGCTTGTCATGTCCTCTTGTGTTGCTCCATTTTTGAATTCTGTTCCTCTGAAGTATGTTTTCGACAATGGAGTGGAGTTATCTGGGTTGCAGTTGGCCTTGTCCTCGATGGTTTTTGCATTTGGATACATTTTATACAGAGCGAGCAATAATCAGAAGGACGCATTCAGGAAGAACCCTTACAGTCCTGGATTGGCATGTGAGTAATTTATTATAAAAAATGCTGATGCACAATTTTTAGAACTTTGAATATGAACAATACAAAGGAAATATGGAAAGTTCAGAATAATTTAAGGAAAAGGAAAAATTCTGCTAATAGTCACTTCACTTGCAAAGTCCTGATTAAATAAATGCTAACATATTCAAAAACACTTTATTGTGAGATTTTCACTAAACGATTTTACAAAAACGCAATACGTGTTTTGCCATATAATGGCTTTTTCGGGCGTGTATTTACTTGAATAAAGTGTTTTTTTGAATACGTTAGATATGGATATCATCAAGTATCGGGCAATTCCATCATATAAATAAATGCTTATTTTGGTTCAGTGTTTTAACAACGATCCTCCCAACATAAAATTGTTTTTATCATCATTCTTACATATTCTCAGGTATCTGCTGAATAAAAGTGCAAATTCGACTTGTTTTCAGTTGAAGTGAGTTTTTGATGGCTATCAATAAAAATTCCACAGGAACTGACTATATCAGTTTGGATTGTCTTGTATTGTCAAATAAAAAAAATTAACTTATACTTAGTTTCAATATAGACCAAAGTGATAGAAAACATTAAAAATGCGAAATTTTGCATTCAAACTTGGTATATAGAATTAGAATCATATTTTGAATCACTCTATTTTTATTTTTTATATCTCCAACTTTAATCAAAATGTAGAAATTATGGCCAGTGTATTAAAAGCATGTCATGGAGCTTTACAAGTACATGTGCGTTTGCTCTTCATATGAATGAAAACCTGAAAAATCTATAACATTAACTTGCCAGTATACAGTGCATTTCTTTAATGTCCCCCTTTTTATTTTTTGAACGGGTCAACTCTCAAAAAATTGAAATTTTGGATAATGAAATTAATGCATGAATACTTTATTTTGAAGTGAAATTGACAGATGAAACTTTCAAGATGGCAACTGGGCGTCATCTGGGAAAAAATTAAATGGAAAGGGGGGTCTTGTGACACATCATTTTGAAGCTCCTGACGAATACTTCACAACCCTAGAATATGCAGTTAATATCTTTACCTACTACAAAATGGCGGAACATTTAATAATTTCTGGAGACAAACACATTAATATCGATATTTCTAGAAATATTTCTTTTTATCTGCCATATGGCAATTCCAACAACCCGATAAGTTTTATTAAGTTATTTTTTTGTTTATAAAAACGACAAAAAATGTCAGTACGACAATGAACATCATTGTTCAGTTAGAATATTCTCATTTAGTTTTCGGTTTTACTAGTAGAAAGGTACCACGTCAACAATATCTAAAATGGTCAATTCTTGTCCATTGGAATAAAAAATTGAAGTGATTTTATTTACAGTGTGACACGTAACTTTCATGAGACTGAAAGGATTTTCAATGAACTTTTTCCGAAACGTCCTATCTGTAGAAAATATTTGAGGGAACTTGTATCCAAATTCACAACTACCGGTAGTGTACATAACAAAAAGCCCCCAGGTCATCCGTTCATTCCGGAGTTAGTGCAAATAATTGGTGACATGGTAGTACATTCTGAACAGTCAACTTATTCCGTCGCGAATGTTTGTAAGGTGTCTTCTTCTACTGTTTGGAGACTTTTGAGGAGGAATAGGTATCGTATATAAAATTAAAATGGTACACCAATTAACTGAAGATGACCCCGATCGAAGAACAAAATTCTGCGAAATCATTACGGAAACCATTGCAAGGCATCCTACCTATCTCCACAATATTTGTTACAAAATTACCGTTATTGGAGTGACACCAACCCTCACCTTTTCCGGGAAACTCATACCCAATATCCAGAAAAAATTAACATTTGGGCAGGAATATTGGAAAACCATATTGTAGGACCTCTATTTATTGATCAAAATTCAACAGGGGAACTGTATTTGAATATGCTGGAAACTACTTTTGACCCTCTCATCACTGAAATCGTCGAAGCAAATCCTAATGAATTCGATAGTTGACCCGTTCAAAAAATAAAGGGGGGGACATTAAAGAAATGCACTGTATATGTTATGTGCTAAACGGAAGAATTTGAATGTTATAGCGGTTTGTAAGACAATTCCTTTAATCTATCAAAAATATATTTCCTCACACTCAGAAACTGAGAACGTTTTTCTCAATTCAAGTTTTGTCAAACAAAATGGTATCATCAGGAGACGTTGAAAAGTGTAATTCTATACTATCTATCTATTAAAGAGTTAACATTCACGATCGAATGTAACTGTCAAAACTATTTTCCGGGTTTTTTCGGTGTGGTTTGCAGGTTTTCATGCATAGTTTCATCTAGGACTGCGATAGCAGAAACTACATTGAAGGTTTGAGTCTCAGTTTTATTCCGTTGGTGATGGGGGAGACTTCGTTTATATTAGTTGAATTGAACGAGCTTTTTTTGTGAAGGTATCTTGATTTTATTGATGTTACTGAGTCATATGCCCGCTCGAAGGGGCAAAACCAGAATGCCAAAGCAACTCCAAATGAGCCTTACAATGGAAAAGCATTCCTGTTCTTTGTTCACAATGATATGTACTGGACTGGATTGAGAAAATTCTGAAGAAATGCAATGTAAAATCTGTATTCAGGCTAGCGAAATTCATTAAGGAGGATTTAAGATCAGTTAAGGATCCCAGAGGATCTTTAGTGTCACCTGATCCCTTGTAGTTGTATCGGGCTGATTTGGAATCATGAAGAAAATTGTAAGTTTCTGGTTCTCTGAACAGAAGGGAAATTGTTGCTTGGGGTATACCGACTAACCAAAAGTAATGCAGGATGCATTTGGAGAAGATACCCACATTATCGCCTTTTAAATGACCGAATTGCTTCATAGAACACAGACCTACCACCCAAGTAGCTCGCCTCAAATATAGAATAGAATAAAACTTTATTGCGCCCATAAAAAATACAAATATTTTGGACAAGTCACCTATTACATTGCACAGTTACATAAAAAAACTGTAAATGTAACAATAAAATTAAATATAGAGTATGAAATGCATGTTAAAAATCTTTAACGTATAAAGAAACAGGAATAAAAAGTGGAAAAGGTGCACTAGGTATCTCCAAGCGAATCCTTAAGAGTAACATTGAACTCACTCAGAGTATATATTTATTTGACTTGGATGCCATTCACCTTATTGACAACAGCTGTAGTTCCAGTAATTATTAACATCCTTGTATTGATTCATCGAGCCATTAGAGATGATGCACACTGTAAACAAAAGTACGGAGCTGCCTGGGACAGATATCGCAACAGAGTCAAATACGTTCTTATACCTAAGATTTATTAGAGTAAGAAGGGCGTTCCTAGTTTTTTGGATATTTTGACATATTACTCCTAAGGTTATAACTTTCAATTCAATGAAACTCATATCCAGAAAATATTGGTAGTCCGTTTTCATGAAAATTTCATTAAGTTTTAAAATGATTTAACTTTGCCGAATGAACTGTACTCCACCATTTCTTGGTAGTCTCATTGAATGTTGGAAATTGTTGAACTATGTACGAATGGAATGGAACAACCACAGTTTGATAATTATGTCTGAAATTTTTTGGAATTGAAAGACACTTTTCAAATTATAATTTAGGAAGAGCATTTTAAGTACAAGAACAACCATTTTTTATCTCTATTTTGAACTGTTTTTCAATTATATACGTGAGAATATTTTGAAACACAATTCAATTTTCTCTACTTTATTGACAATTTAGGTTTTACTATATTAAAAAAAAATTATTGTGTAATATTTACACCAGTAATAACATTTTTATCTTAATTACTCAGGTAAACTTTCAGGAAATATTCAAAATTACTTTTCTAAATACAAAATAACAACAGCTTTCATAAGTAATAATAACACAATGTATGAACATTTGTAAGAATCAAAAGGCAAGATAAGTAAAGATAATCTCAAAATCCTAAACACATGTAATAAATGGAAAAAAATGGATTTGTTTGAAGCCATGTAAATCAATAAATCAATTAAAAACCTAAAATTCATAACTCTAAACGAGCAACTCGATTAATGTAGGTCCCCACTCTTGAATTTATAAGTTTGGCAACCCCAGTAATTTCTATAATCTCCAATGTTAAATTTTTATATTTGGCACCCCTATCCATTTAATTACCTACCCATCCAGCTTACCTAGAATCTCCCTATATAAACGTTTTTAGATTTCAAATGTATTAGTCAGTTTTTATACTTGACAATAGAATAAAACCAGTCATAAAAATGAAATAACTAGTGGAAATTACGCAAAAGTGTTTTCATAAAATTCATTAAAGTTATCTAATTATACTCTTATCATCTTTTCCATTGTAAAATTCCGCTGGTGTTGAAAGATATGAAAAATATACTGTCTTTTGTGTATAAATAGTGAAAATGGGGAAAGTGATCATGTTATTTCATTGAAGTGTTTTTGTATTATATACATTTTTTCTAGAATGTTTTTCAGGCGACAGCCTTTTTCTTTCTCAAGGGAGTTTTGTTTTTGAAAAATGGACCATATATCTTATTTCCGTTAGGGTTATTCCAAATTTGATTGTTGAATAATTGTTGGAAAAAATATATTGGATATGAAATAGCGATAATGCATAATTAAATTGTTTTAAGATTTCAGACTAGATCACAGAGGGTTTATTCTTATACGAAATTTGAAAGATTAAACTATTTTGAAGAAATTGTAGATTTTCATGACTGATATTTTGTTTACAACTGCTGCAGAATCGAGCATTCACCATATTGCCTTTAATAATGTCTGCCGCAGTTAACAAACTCGGAAAATACTTTGGACGTCTTGGAAAAATTACGGGGCCTTGTATAAAAAACACAACTATGTCTTCTAATGTTTTACTTATCACTTTTTCAGAAATAAAAACAAAAAATCGTGTAGAATATTGTTTTTGTTTAACACCTTGTAATTATTTCAAGAACGTTATCTTCTGGACGCAATTTCAATAGTTTTGATAAGATTTACTTGGGTGAAAGCTCACATGTTGGTAAACATGAAGAATAGTAATTAAAATTGTCTGGCTTAAAAATCTTTTCTCCCAATGATTTATTCTTCTTCTGCTAAATGTTTCACGTTGGTGAATTCTCCATTTGTATAACCAAACAAATGTAGAAATTTTATATTATGTACTACATGATCTATTACATATTTTTTAACGCAAGCCATATTGAAACAGTACAAAGTACTATTTGTATATCTGAGTTACAGTAGGCTCTCTATGAACTTTTTGTATGATGTATTTTTTTTTATCAATTTAGATCTCAATATAACTTGTGTGCAATCAACTTGTACAAAATAATTTAATCCCCAAAAAGTTTATAATATATAAGACAAGATTGTAATTGTACAAAATTTTCAGATGTCACATTATATTACCAAGTTTATTGTAGTTATACAGATCTGATCCTACCTACCTCCTCATAGAGATTTCTTATTTGATAAATACATCAAACTCTTCTGTCCACCAGTGATTGGCTACAGGTGAATTTTGAGAGTACTTATTACTTTTCTAATGCAGCAAGACTATCTCTTGCATTTATCATAATGATGATAACAATAATTCATTATTCAGAAGGCCTCTATTGGAACAAATCTCTATGTCAAGTGTCGGAGCAACAGATCTGTTCATTGAGTTTTGAAACGAGGAGTAACTCAATTTGGAATGATAAACGACACATTTGTGAACGTTATAAATTTCCACTTTGGTATGACTCTTTTGTTCTGTACATCAAAGAATAGGTTATAAGTTTTTCAACAAAAATTTTTAGACAATATTTACAATGTTTTTTAATGTGATACCCCTCCCAGTTATCAAAGTTTCAGAATATTTCCAGGAGCATGAAACCTATAGAGCAGTCAGGTAGCTGAAAGGACAAGGCTTAGTAGGAGTGTGGATAAAATCATCTGCATTGTTTTAAAGGTCACAAAAATAAATTAACAATATAATCTGAGGCGATAATCTAAAGCAACTTGAGGTAAGTGGAATAATTTAAAAGGTAACCAGTGGCGGCCTTAGGGTGTGGCGAGCAGGGTAACCACCCAGGGTCATGCGTTGTGATACTAGTGGAAAAAACGTTGATATATAGGAATATTTCATTCAAGCTCTTGTGGAAAATCACAAAGCTGTATGTGAACACTGTTCCACATACAGCCTGAGAATTAGGTAACCCCACTGGAGGCGAATCCGATTTAGAGGAAGATATACTTAAACAGAACCATACAACAGACCAAATCACGAAGATACCTTCATATGAAACTACTGTTGGAATTGTTTATTATAATATATTGATGTTAACATTTTATCTCCCTATAGGAATAATTTTGTTTTATGTTTTTGGTAACTATTGTATAGAGTAGAGTTCAGTTGTTGAAAATTATTAATAAAAGTCATTTGGAGAAAAGTCAAAACCTATTTTTGAAACGATTAAATAATAAGAATCCATCCCATTTACAATATTTGGCGACCGTGACAGGACATAAAAGATGGATAGTTTGAAGAAAAATAGGCAGCAGTTGAGGAGCCTTTTCAAAAAATCTGTTGAAGCGCTCGATGGAGCTTTGAAGCTGAGAGATTCGACTGAAGAGGATGTACTGTTTCTACTGAGACAATTGGAGGATAAGAGTAGCAGATTATTCGAGGCAGATGAAGGAGTTAAAAAAAAATTGTCATTAGAAGTCAGCGATGATATTGAATTAGAAGAAGAGTACGATTAGGTAGAATATTACAGAGACAAACTGACAAAATATAAATCAAAATGCGAATTCCGATTGAACGAGATTACGAAGACCCAAGCAGATCGTTTGAGCTGTTCCAATTTCTCTATAACGGAGAAAATTCAGAGAAAATTTCATTTACCAAGAATAGAACTGAAGAAATTCGATGGGAACGTGAAGAACTGGATTGGGTTCTGGGGACAATTCAAGAAGATTCACAACGACCCAGAAATAGATAATGAAGACAAGTTTCAGTATCTTTTACAAGCGACGGAAAGTGGTTCAGTTGCTCGAGATTTAGTAGAAAGTTACCCCCCGTCTGGGCCCAATTACATTAAAGCCATTGACCAGTTGAAGACTCGTTTTGCCAGGGACGAATTCCTAATCGAAGTTTACGTAAGGGAACTATTACAACTTGTACTGCAACAATCTTCAAAAGCTAAAACAGGTATGTCTCTTTCCAATCTGTATGATAAACTTGAAACCCAGTTAAGAGCTTTGGAATCCCTAGGAGTTACTAGCGAAAAATATGCGGCTATGCTTTTCCCTCTTGTAGAATCGGCTTTGCCTGCAGAAGTTTTAAGAACTTGGGAAAGACATCGTAATTTCAATCAACGAAATGAGAAGAATGATAATGACACTTCCAAAGGTACTAATTATTTGAATATGTTATTAGGTTTTTTGAAAATGGAGGTTGAGTCAGAAGAACGAATAAATTTGGCACAAAAAGGATTTGGAAAAGGACACGAGCACAACAAATATCATGACAGTAAGGATAAATATTTTCCAAAACAAGGTGAGCCCGAATTATATACAGCAGCTGCTTTGTACACAGCTAATCCCAAAGATTATTTAAAAGATAAGCAAAATAATTGTTTATTCTGCGATTTGAATTCACATGCAAGTAAGGATTGTTTGAAAGCNCAAACCGATGCTATCTCTATCTTTCTCACACTCATATGACTAACCGAACCATCAACGTTGGACGTACACACCCTGTATTTGATGTGTTTTCCATCAACACCCTGTATTATTATTATTATTATTATTATTGCTCTTATGCCCCAATTGAGGACTAATTCGAGGGCCCAAATCGAGGTCCAACTCGAGGACCTAAATCGAGGACCAATTCAAGGGCCCAAATCGAGGACCAATTCGAGGACCCAAATCAAGGACCAATTCGAGGGACCAAATCGAGACGTCCAAGTAGGACCCATCACGAAAACCTACACCAAACACCCGTCACAACACTCCCTGCCACTTGTCATTCTTTCCTACACCCACACACACGCAAAGACTGCTCTATGCACCACCACAAACCTCGCTGAGGGGTTGTGTTACTCTTCTACACCACCACCACCACCGACGACAATGACCAACGACTTCTTGCTGGACCATCGCCATCCGACTCACCATCCGACTACGCGAAGTCAAAATGACGCCAAACCGGCATTGACATCCTACTTGTATAGAGTAGAATTCAGGTGTTGAAAAGTATTAATAAAAGTCATTTCGAAAAAAGTCAAAACCTATTTTTGAAACGATTAAATAATAAGAATCCATCCCATTTACAATATTTGGCGACCGTGACAGGACATGTAAGATGGATAGTTTGAAGACTTTTCAAAAAATCTGTTGAAGCGCTTGATCGAGCTTTGAAGCTGAGAGATTCGACTAGAGAGGATTTACTGTTTCTACTGAGACAATTGGAGGATAAGAGTAGCAGATTATTCGAGGCAGATGAAGAAGTTAAAGAAAAATTGTCATTAGAAACCATCGATGATATTGAATTAGAAGAGGAGTACGATGAGGTAGAATATTACAGAACTGATAAAATATAAATCCAAATGCGAATTCCGATTGAACGAGATTACGAAGACCCAAGAAGATCGTTTGAACTGTTCCAATTTCTCTGTAACGGAGAAAATTCTGAGAAAATTTCATTTACCAAGAATAGAACTGAAGAAATTCGATGGGAACGTGAAAAACTGGATTGAGTTCTGAGGACAATTCAAGAAGATTCACAACGACCCAGAAATAGATAATGAAGACAAGTTTCGGTATCTTTCACAAGCGAGGGAAAGTGGTTCAGTTGCTCGAGATTTAGTAGAAAGTTACCCCCATCTGGGCCCAGTTACATTAAAGCTATTGACCAGTTGAAGACTCGTTTTGCCAGGGACGAATTCCTAATCGAAGTTTACGTAAGGGAACTATTACAACTTGTACTGCAACAATCTTCAAAAGCTAAAACAGGTATGTCTTTTTTCAATCTGTATGATAAACTTGAAACCCAGTTAAGAGCTTTGGAATCCCTAGGAGTTACTAGCGAAAAATATGCGGATATGCTTT